GGCCAGAACTGGTTTATGTGGGACTTATTGGTTTACCAGATTAACGTATTCTAACCTAACCTATCAGCAGTTGAAAAATACTTTATCCTACATGAGATCAGAATAGCTTACAAATTTCGAATGCTTATGGTGTTATTTTTGCCGTTGTGAATGAAGAAGTAATATTTTGTTCAATTGCTAAATATATTTTGATTTTTATCCATCCAATACCCTTGAGGCTAAACGTTTCATCTGTGGATCAATACTGTAATCATTAAATAATCAATATGTTTAGTCCAAAATATGAAAGACGAATACTATCGAACTTTTTATAAATTAGTTGAAGAACTTACTTTCTAGTATATAAATTACGACTTATGTCACATTGATCATAGACAAGACAATATCTGGAAGTTGAGAGAATGAGTAGCAATAAAGTTATGTGCTTCAAACGATCGCTTCCTTATTACAAGAAAATAATAGAAAAGTGCATTCACCGGCAAAATATCCAATAAATTTCCTTTCTCCCAAGCACGTTTACAAGTTTCGCACAAAAAAATAATATAGTATAATGTAAAACAACTGAAATTGATCATAAATCAGACGCGCCCTGACGAGTTGTCTCTCTTGCCTACGTTTTTTTTTCCGCCGTCACAATGTAATGTACGAGTATTTAATTAGATTCGTCGCCGCATTTGCACAACTCAAATGACTTATTTCTCAACATAACTGTCATTTATAACAATTTATGCTATAAAAGGGAGTCGTCGTCTCCAACGCATAGACAATGGTGGCGCAGTAGTCACCAAAGCCAAAGCAACTAAGCAAGTATTTATTTTATTTACGCATAACTTGCAGAGCAACTAAAACCAGCTGGGAAGAGAGGATCGGCAAGCAACGAAAAATCATCCATCATTTTGTCTATTTACGCTGTAAAATCACTTCATCATCTGCGCTGCAGTGGTTTGACGCATGTGATCGTCGTTAGCGGTTGCGCAGGCGCATTGTGATGCGTGCGAAAAACGGGTGGTGTAGCTTATATGTTAGTGAATGTGTGTATGCTGCGTGCATGTGGCATTCCAAATCACTGATTGTTTCACCATTTTTTTTTTTTGCATTTCATTTTCGATCAATTTCATTTTCGTTTTATTGTGCACGCAAACAAAAGCGCTGCGTCGAGATTCCACTGATTTGGGTTGGTTAGTTACTCCCTGGGGGAGTTGTCAGTCGCTCTGTCTGTCTGGCTATCTGTCTGCTTGTCGCTTGCGAAAGCACGTAGCTTGAATGTCGCTACTGCTTGATTGCTGGGCAAAGAAGAAGAGAAAAACCCGCGCTGGTGCAACTGCTGGCTACTTGCTTCTCGGCGTTAGGCGCGGCAAAGTCCGCGACTGTGGTTGTGAATGTGGTTTGGGAAGTTTGCGCAAATTTATTACCTTCTATTCTTATTGTTCATTTGCAACGATTTGTTGCATAAACGCATAACTACCAAGGCGTTGCTTAAGTGCGTGATTTACTTCAGCTTTGTTGTTGTAGATGTGTGCAAGTTATTGTTGTTGTTGTTGGCCGACCGCAACTCAGTATCAATTCAATTCCGACGCATCGGAATCAAGTCGGCGCAAAGTGAACGCTGTCATTTTTTATATTACTTCGTTGCTTTTGTTGTTAATTTCTTTTGCTATTGTTTTTTGTTATATGATTTTGTTGTTGCTATTGTTTTTTGTGCCGTCACTCAGCGGTGCATTCATTTAGAACGCAATTGCAACAACAGTAACCATAAAAGTGCGTTTGCGGCAAGCGCAAGCCAGTGCGGCAAGAGGCAGCATTGGCGGAGTCCGCAAAAAGCCGCAATGCAACGCAAGTCATTCTGTGGTTTATAAATAAATTTTCAACTGACATCCAACAATTCTTTTACTTTGCGCCCAACAACTGCTCACTCAACGCACATGTAAGCGTTTGTAGCATGTGGCTGCCACAACTTCCCACAAGCTTGACGGTGGCAAGTTTAAAATATGCAAAGCGGCAACTTGCAACATAACTAACATAAAGCACACGCACGCAAATAATTTGCATACATGCTTGCGTACTGGTCTGTAAAATTGTTGTTGTTGTTGTTGTAACATAACTACATTGCTTCTTGTTGTTTTTACTGTTTTTAAAGCACTTTTTGCCTTGCCATTCTCACATATGCTGGAATAATATTCTCGCTGATATGTGGCATTTGAATTTGAAGTGGCAGCCGTCAGTGCCACTTCGCATATATCTGGCATTGTGTGTGTAGCATGTAGCGCCGTGCATTGTCTACAACAATAGGAACAGCAAAAATACTGATAGCGACAGCAGAAATCGCCAACAGTGGCAGTGATGCATTCATTCGGAAAATTTGTGTTGCATTGCTTGTCTAGGCGTCAATGGCGTGGTCTTCATCGGCAACGTGCTTCATATTCGTACATATGTATGCACACACAGGCACACACACGCATGCTTAAGAATATGGCTTTACTTACCTGTACTTGGATTAACATGTGCTTGCCGGCGCGTGTTCCAGTATACACATGAATAATTTGTTATTTGTCACAATGTGATATGGCACACAGCGGCGTGCGCCTAAATGTGGTGACAACAACAAGTTATGCGAGAAAATTAACAATAAATTGCAAATGACTTTTATTGAGTTGAGTTGAGTTAAAAGCTGGTTAATTTGTTAATTTAGGAGCGCATAATTTGTGGGAGTTTAGTGTTATAGTCGTAGGAGTTTACTTTCTTAATAAATTTTTTGTCGCAATGAATTTTTTTAAATTTCATATCGTAATAAATTTATATATTATCGCTGCCTGTAAAATGTATATTTAATACAGACTACTTAAATATAGTTAGGTGAATCTGGTAGGCCAATAAGCACAGAGCAGTCTTGTTCCTTTGCAATACCAGATGGAGCTCAGTTGCTAAGTGTATGAGGAGTAGTCATCCTTCCGATCTACCGTTTTGCACATGACTTCTGCAGTTTTTCACCCAGGTAGCTCGTTTCCTCGAGTTTGGTTTTCTTTACCATGCTTCTGTCGAGATTGTCGTATAGCCAGTGCATAGGTTTTCCAATGTTGATAACTTTTTCGCCTCGATTCCTTTGTGGCATGGCACCCAGTAAAAGTGAAGTTGCTTGCTTCTGGCAACACTTTGCACTGCTGACCTGCTTTGCAAGACACTTCTGTTCGATATGCGAAAGAAGGTTACTCTCTTGATTGCTTCTTGGCTGTCTACGTCGACGTTGACTTTGGAATTACCGGCAGGTACATTAGGGGCTTGCTCCACGGCTTTCGCAATAACAATGGCCTCAGATTAAAATATACTATTATTATACTATATTATGCCTAACTCTGGACAGTATATTCCCATATCAACTCCATCGTTCATTTTCGAGCCATGTATGTATATGATGCAGATGTTTAAAGTGTTACTTGTACCTAAAATACCTTTACGCTAGCCATCTTCGTCTATGTTTACTTTGAATCTTCTTTCACAGTTGAAAAGTGGAATCATGTAGTCGGTGTTTGCCCAACCGCCATTACCCAACGAGCAATGTCCGAAGATTCTATATGTAAATTCTACTACAGCCAGTAGTCGTTCCGTCGATTTTGCTGAGCGATTTTCGGTGAAGATGTCTATAGGTGGCAGGTTTAGTACCAATTCAAGAGCCGCCGTTGGAATTATTCTTAAAGCTGACGTTATGCACAGCGCAGCGAGTCTCTGAACAGAGTTAAATATACGAGAGAATATATTACAGATGATATAGAGGAGTAACAGTACGAAAGTTTATTCAAAGCAACTTCTATGATACAGGAATGAAATTTAATTTTACAAAAAATGGAAGAAATTTTAATTCAGTTCAAAACATAATACTTATTTTTTATTTAACTTCTAAAATAATAAAAATATTGCGTTCATTCGCTTAACTCATCCATGTTGTTGTGCTCATATAATTAAGTCACCTAAAGAAAAATGTAGTTATTCGTAGTATACGACATTTTTTTGCAGTTTTACCTTACCTAAGACTAACACTTAGTTGAATAACCTTTATTACGTAGCACCTCACTACATCGCTTAGGCATTGTTTGGACTAAAGTAGCATTGAGCGGGACTTATTTTGTACCACTCTGCCTGTATTATTACCCATAAAGAACCATTGTTGCGAGGTTCTCGTGCAGCTACGGCTCTTTTTATAAACCCCCATAGGTTTTCTATGGGGTTTAGGTCCGGACTTTCAGCTGGCCAATCCAGAATTTTAATATTTCGACTACGTATCCAAGTTTTAACGACCCGCGAGCAGCGTTTGGGGTCGTTATCGTGCTGGAAAATCTAAGCTAACGGTAAGTTGTCCACATAATCACCGTCTAAATTGYTCTCCAGTATTCCTTTGTACATTTCACCTGTCATTTTCCCGTCTATTTTAACAATCGGGTCAACGCCTGATGACGTGAAGCAACCCCACACCATCACCGATGAACCGCCATGTTTCACGGTTTTTTTT